CCCTCCTGCTGCCTCTGCCCTGGGCCGGGGGTCGCGGTGGAACATGGCTTCTGGTGCGCTGGCCCAGGACAGGCCGGCAGGGTGCCGGGGCTGGAGGGAGAGGGGCGGTCCGGCACAGCGGGCCCCTGGCCACCAGTGTGCCTGCCCCTCCAGCTCTGGGCGCCTTGCAGCCTGTCAGACCTGTGGGCAGTCTCAGTGGGCCCAGGACTGGAAGCACCCAGGCAGCACTTAGGCTCTGGGCAGGAGCCCATGGGGCTGCCCAACATCTGCGGACATTTTTGTCAAGGCAGGTGAGCCTGGTGACAGGTCGGCGGAGGAAGACCCCAACCCACTTGGATTGGCCTGGCCACATAGGGCCACCTCTGCCACCTACTTGGTGCCAACCACTATGCACAGTGACCTTGTGGGCAAAGGCTGGGCTCAGTAGTCACTTGAGATTCTTGGGGTGTCAGGGCATTCCAGCCTGGCTCCATCCAGCTGGGACAGCCAGGAGAGAAGTGGCCACCACAGCCAGGGACCAGGTACAGCCTGTTCGTGCCTTGGGGCATGGGGACAGACAGGCCTCCGGGGGTGGGGGCTGTGCCTGAGGAGCTGGGCCGTGAGGGGGGTGTCGACCAGCTCCCCCGGGCGGGCTGGCTTCCGGAGTGGTTTTCTCAGCCAGCCTGGGGCCTGGGCCAGGCCCCCGCGGGGCACTGGGCATTGCTGAGGCAGCGCTGGGGCCGGGGCCGGGGCCGGGGCCGGAGCTGCTGACCCTGGCTGGGCTGGCCGGGGGCAGATGCTTGGGGCAGAGTGGCCCGCCTCAGTGGCCCTGCCGACACCTCACGCAGTGTTCAGGTCCCTTTGCAAGGTAACCCTAAACATGTGCCCTGTCCCTGTGACGAGAGCTGACAGGGACCCGGGGGCGTGGCTACCTCATAGGGCAACCTCAGATGAACAGGCCTCCTTCAAAGCCCGCCCTGGGACCATGGGGCCCATTTCCACATGGCGGGCCCCCACCTGGGCTGGCCGTGACATAAGTTAGCATAAGGTCTTTAAAGCCCTTATGCTAATGGTGCCAAGACTCGTGCCCCCAGCTCGGGGTCCAACCCAAGAGCCCCCGTCCCTCCCTGCTTCTTGGGGCTCCCACTGCCCCCTCCCAGCCCGGTAACCACAGCACTCCATGGGCAAGGACCTTGCCAGGGGGAAAGAGGCCTACGGCCCAGTTCCCGGCCAGACTTGGCCACTCAGCCCCGGCCCTGGCCAGGGCCCAGGCCGCCTCTGCTCAGCTCTGTCCGGGGCTGGCTACTGGTCAGCGGGAAGGGCTGGGGAGGTGGCAGCCAGGTCTGCCATGGCTCTGCCGGCTGGGCGTGGTGCCGTCACCAAGCTCCTCAGAGGTGGAGGTGGCGGCGGGAGCCGGGTTGCTGTGTCCAGGGGTCAGGAGCTGGCGGGAACAGAGGCCGCTCCAGGGTTTGGCAGCCCTCTCCCAACACCTACACGGAGGTGCCCCCTGGCAAGGCCCTCACCACTTCCTAACTTCCAGCCCGGGACGGCAGAGGGGAGACGGAACCCTTCAGAGCAAGGGCCACGGAGCCCCACTGGGCGGGCCTGGGCGCGAGGCGCACCTGCGCGAGAGCCCCTGGCAGGGCCTGTGCCATGGGGGCCGGGGGTTGAGGAGGGAGAGGTCACCTGGCACCCGACCAAGTCTTCAGGGTGAGCTTCCTGCACCTCATCCACTGAGCATTTTGTAGTGAGCATGTAAAGATGTAACGTCATCGTGACAAGCGCGTTCTGTTTCAGTATGGAAAGAAGGGAGAGTAGAGACCCCCCCAGGAGACTGCCTGGTCCATGGGGGGCCACTTGGGGCCCTGCTAGCCACCCACACGGCCGGGAGAGGCTGAGGGGCAGGGTGGCTGGGTCAGGCCAGGTGGGCAGGGGCAAAGGCAAGCCCTGGGGAGCCTAGGAGGGAGGCCCGGGGGCTGGAGCACCGTCCCACCCCCTCATTTCCCACAGTCTGGGGAGGGGTCCTTTCCTCGTGGACTCAGAGAAGCCAGCTGTAAGGAAACACTCCAGGAAGGCCCCTAAGCAGGGAGACAGGCCAGCACAGGCGAGGCAGGCCCCAGGCTCGGGGTCTCTGGCCACAGGAGGAAGCGCAGCCTGCCACTGGCGTGCCCCTGCTCTGTGGAGCCAGCACCCGGGCTGGCCGAGCTGTGGCGCCCCCACCCACAGCCCCCGTGTGGTGGAACGCCCCTCCCGGGTGGTGTCAGATCAGGGCCCCTCCAGCAGGCCAGGATCAGTCTCCTGGGAGGACGTGTCATTTCCCGAGCCCCTCACCAGATTCAAGTTTAGGGTTCCAGTCGGATCAGACACCCCGCAGGTCCTCGGGCCTACTCCCCACTGCCCCTGCCCCAGGCGGCGGTCCTCAGAGGCCCAGGTGGCGGGTCTTAAGGAGGCGCCTGCTGCCCCTGCGGGGGCCGGGGGCATGCAAGACCCTCAGAGGGAGCTGCCCTGAAGCCTTGGTGTCGGGAACCCACGGACTAGAGGGCGCTGTGGCCGGGCCGGGGGCGGGAGCCCTGGGGCCTGGCCCGCGTGCCGTGGGAGCCGGCCAGGTGCGGGGTTCTCAGGCCGCGCTGGAGAAAGCCTTTATCCAGACCCGGCTCTTGGGCCCGGCCGCTTCCCACTGTCCCTGAAGGAGCAGGGTGGAAGGACTTGCCTGGGAGGGCGCGGGGGTGGGAAGGCCTGGGGGACCTGGGGTGGGCCGGGCGAGGCAGGAAGAGGCCCCACTCATCCCACAGGCATGGCCCCCCCAGGGTCTCTGGGGCCCCCCGCCCTCCCTCTCCCACCCTGCTCCAGGCCCGCCCAGGAGGCCAAACTTCCCAGCCCGGCGTCCCCTCCCCCGGCTGGACGTGCCTGTGGTCTGGCCGTGGCCCATGGCAGCCTCAGCCCTGCGGTCCGGGAAGTCCCTGGCTCCTGCGCCCCTTTGCCCCCTGCCCCCGGGTCCTCTCTGGGTCTCCCTGCAGCCTGACAGTGACTGCAGAGGTCAGCTCGCACCCCAGCCTGGCCAGCGCGCACAGACCCTCCTCCAGGCCCTCACACCCGCACATGGAGGGCGGGGGCTGCCAGGGTCCGGCTGGGGCAGCCCCTCCCTCTCCGGGCCTCCCCGCCTCTGCTGAGTCACCCTGTGTCTGGGAAGCTCCCAGGGCCCAGGCAGCTGAATGAGGCTTCACAAATCCGCCAAGTCCCCCGCCTCCCAGGCTGGGAAGCAGCTGCCCTGACTCACCTTGGGCTGGGCCCGCAGCCTCCCGGGTCCCCAGAAGCCCTGCACACCCAGACAGGCCCCTATGCCCAGTCCGTCAGGGCGGCAGGCCCCCAGGTCCCTGCTCCCCAGTCCCTCACTGCCTGTGGGTCGGAGGTGACAAGGTGCTAGGGCGCCCTGCCGGGGTGGGGGCCAAGTGCACAATCCGGACCACCCACCAGGCGGCGGGCGGAGGTGGGGGGGGCGCTGCTGTGCCTGCTGGGCATCCATGTCTATCCTTCCTGTGCAAGTCACTGGTTGCCATGGAAACCCAGGCAGACTCACTCTGCCTGGCCTTGGCCACTGGCCTTGGGCAGAGGGGATACAGTGCTGGAGGGCGCAGGTGGGTATGGGCTGGGCAGGCGCAGAGGCTGGCTGCGGGGGAGGTGGCGAGTGGCCACCTGCATCTCCATGCCAGCCCGGTCCGGCCGACCCCGAGCCACCCAGGGGATGTGGAAGCAGAGCCGTGGCATCCACCCTCAGGCTCTGCCCATCCTTTCTCATCTTGTGCCTCGGTTTCTCCTCTTGCTCCCTTGGGATGGAACCCCTAGTCCGATGAGTCAGCTAACCGGGCTTGGGGAGAAGGCTGAAGACCCCGCTGTGGGGAGAGCCCAGAACTGCGGGGCCAGCAGGGCTGGGGTGCAGCGTCTGGCAGGACCTTGCTGACCCATGACCCTTCCGGGAGCTGTGGGCACAGACAGCACTTTGGCAGGTCTGTCCTGTGTGTCCGGTGGGGTCAGGGGCCCTGCCCCTGGAGAGAAGGGCAGTGCGTGAAGCAGTGTGCCCCCCAGGCCCTGAACAGCACCTGGCACCTGGTTGTGGGGGTAGGGTGGGGTGCATGCCGCAAAGCGGCAGAGTGCCATTCCCGAGGGCTTTGCAGTAACGCGGGCGCCAGGCCTCCGGACCCCAGGCCTCCGGACCCTGAGCATGGCTGTCAGGCATCCGAGTGGGCAGCTGCTCGCGCCTCGGCGTCTTGGGTGCCCGAGGACGGAAGGTTGGGGAGCTCGGGGAGCTCGGGGCCTGAGGATCCCCCCGAAGGGCTCCGTGGTGGGGGTGCCGTGCCTGCCCAGACTGACTCTCGCCCCTGTGTCCACAGCCAGCAGCCGCCTGATGGGGAGCTCCCCGGCTTCCTTCATGGGCAGTTTCCTCTCCGGAGGCCTGGGCTCGGCGGCCTCGGCACACCCCGGCGGCCCCGCCCCCTCCCCCTCGGAGCAGGCCTACCGCGGCTCCCACCCCGCCACCTCCCAGCTCTGGTTCTCCCACTCCCACGAAGGTAAGTCGGGGCCTGGGCTCCGGGCAGCCGCCGCGGCCAGAGCCGCTGACTGGTGCCCAGGGCCAGTGACGGGGTGGAGGGCTCCCCTGCCGTGGCCCGGGAGACTCCGCCAAGTGCTCTGGCGAGGGGCCGTCTCCCGACCAGGGAGCCCCCGTGGGAGTGGTGGTAATTGGTTGGAAACGGGTGGGCCCCGCCCGGGCCCCGCCCCGCCCAGCAGCGGTCCTGGCCAGATGTGCACCACAGATGGGCAGAGGGAGAGAGGGAGAGAGGGGGTGGGGCCGGGGCTGTGGCGCCGGGCGGGGCTGCACCCTCCACACTGGCTGCAGCCGCCCCCCAGACTTGGGGAGGCATGGGCTCCAGATGTGCCAGCTGGGAGGGAGGGGCGGGGAGGAGGGAGCTGTCAACATACTCAGGCTGCCACCCTGGGGGCCTGGCCTAGAACAGGGTCCCTCCCAGGCCTCTGCCTCCTCCCCGAGAGGCGGGCCCCGTGCACACAGTAGGTGCCTCATGAGTGAGCGTCCCTCTCAAGCTGCGAGGCTGGCAGGAGAACTTCTGGAGGCCTTTCAAGGACTCTGGGGGCCCCTCAGCTTTCCCAGGGCAGGGCACCCCCCAGCGCCCCACTATCTGCTCAGTCTCTTGGCACGGTGACGTGGACGGCAGCGCTGGGCCCCAGCGTCCCCAGCCTGCGGTTGCTGGTCCCTCTCGGCCGCCCATCGCTCAGGGCGTGGGAAGGGTTAAAGCAGGCGCCTGGCTCGCAGGAGGTAATTGCAGTTGGCACCGGGCACAGAGGGCTCTCCGCTCCTGGCACCGGCGCCGCCGTAACTCAGTGACTGCCGAGGGGCGGGCGATGTGTTTGCAGAGTGCGTGGACCCACACACCGCGCCCGGCGCTGCCGGAGCGCGAGAGAAACCTCTCTTTGTGCAACAAGAAAGGGGCTGTTTTCCAAACAGGACAGGTGACGAGTGAGGGACAGTTGTTAAAATAATCTGGGCTTTAAGCGCCGAGCAGAGTGCACATGTCGGCCAGGCGATGAGCAGCCGCTGTCTTCCCCAGTGGAGGGGAGGCGGCCGGCGAGGGCCCGGCCCAGGCTCATCTCCACGTGCCGCTGCCGAGCCTGCACCCCCAGCGCTCCCGGGGGGAGACCGAGTGCAGACTGCCGGGCACTGCTGCAGGCCTTCCCGCGCTGGCCATGGGACGGCCCCACGCGCTCCGGGCACCACTCGTCCCCCGCCCGTCCAGCCCTTCCGCCTTCGGTGTCTGCTGTGACACTCCTGGCTGTGGCAGGAGCATCTGGCTCCCAGGATGTCTGCGGGAGGGAGGAGGGCGGGGGGCTGGCGTGGGGGGGCCTGCAGCAGCCATGCGTGACCACCTCAACTGAAATAACGGCCGCTCCCTGCCCAGCCTGGCCGCAGGTGTGGGCACAGCAGACTGCTGACTTGGTTTCCCCTCTGTGCAGCGATGGGCCCCGGTCGGGGCTTGGGAGTCTTGGTAGCAGCTCTGTCCCGCCCCTGGGGACCTTGCTGGTGAGGACGGCGGTTTGTGGCCAGTGCCACCTGCCCTGGGGCCCTGGAAGAAGGTGCCCCCATCCTGCCCCTCTGGGGGCTGCTGGGAGGGTGGGATGGGAGGTGGCTTGTGACACCACGCTCAACGGCCTCAGGCCACTCACTTCCCCTGAGTCAACGGCTGCCTTCCCAGAGTGGCTTGCAGCCTTGGGGCACCCCACCACCCTCAGCGGGCACCCCAGGGAGTCCACCTGGCTGCGTGGGAGGCCGGTGGGGGGGGTGGCATCATGGCCTGTGCCCTGTCCTGCATCCCTGAGACGCAGCCTGAGCAGGAGGAGGCTCCACCCCAAGGGCTAGCGGTCACCTGTCTGTCAGCCCCGGTATACCGCCGGGCTTCCTGGGGGGACATGCCACAGCCCAGTGAGGGAGAGCACAGAGGGACCCAGGACGAAGGGAAGCAGGATGTGGCCTCCGCTGCCCACCCAAGCTCCAGAACAGGGAGCTGAAGATGAGTGGGAGGAGCACCCCCCAACCTGCCGGGCCCCACCTGAGGGCAGCGCGTGTGTCTGCCCTGGGCCGCGGACTGGGCCAGCTGTGCCGCAGGGGGCCCCTCCCAGCCGCCCTCCTCTGCCTTCAGTTCAGCCGCCCCGCCCCGGGATCCCCTTCCTCGGGGGTTCCCCTGCCCTCCGCCCTGCCGTCTGCGTGCTGCAGCCTCGCTCCCCGACAGGCCGCGTGGTGCCGGCTGCCTCGCTGTGAGCTCGGAGCATAAAGGCCAGCGGGCGGGCGGGGCGATCGGGTGGCGGTGCCGGCTGGCTGGCTGCCCTGGCAGCGTGCCTGGCTGCTAGTTTGACTGGGTGCCAGCTGGCTCCCCGCGAGCTGGGGCCTGCTTCTCTGCCGTGTGTATCGGAGGGAAGGGGGGCACAGGACACGACCGGAGCGCGGCGGTCCGCAGGCGCGGTGGGCTGCCTGGGCGGGCTGCTGGAGTCTGGCTCAGACCCTGGTTCATCCGCAGCAGCCCCAAGAGCAGGTGCCCGCAAAGCCTGGCCAGGGCTGGGCCTCTGAAGGGGCGGGAGGCCAGGACGGGGCAGCAGGTGGGGGCCAGATGTGGGGAATGGGCCTTGGTCTCCCCCCCAGGCAGGCCCCCACCTCTCCACTGGCGGACCCAGCATGCCATGTGGGGGCATCTGCCAGAGCTGGGGCTGGGGCTTCCTGCTCCCCCGGGGGGCAGCTGGAGGGGCCGCCAGAACATCTGGCCCTGAGCAGAGCCCCTGCGTCCAGGCCTCCGCCTCCCGGCCCCCGGGGCTCACCCAAGTGAGGGATCCTGCCGGAGGCTGGACATTGCCCTCTGGGACTTCAGGTGGGGGTGGGCAGTGGGACTGGCCCCCGGTAGGGGTGAGCCGGTGTCCAGCCAGCCTGGCCCTGTGAGTCAGGGGGAGGTGGAGGCGGGGGCCAGCACAGCTGGTCCTATTGTCAGTGAGCCCGGCCCCTCCCTCCCCACCCCACCCCCCAGCTGCCTGGCTGGGACCACCCACAGGGCTGATGAAAGGGGTTTCTGTGCCTGGGGGCTCAGCTGGGAAGGGGGGGCCGGAGCTGCTGTGCTACACAGCCTGGACAACTCTGGTCCCTTGTGCCACCTGGAGGGGCAGCCTTGGGTGGCCACAGGCACACGTGGGCCCTAGGCGTGGCCGGCCTCTCTGGGCGCCACACCCACTCTAGCGGCCACTCCATCAGGCTGGGCTAGGCTCCAGTGGGGACGGGGGCTGCACCAAAAAGCCATCGGCACCCCTGCTGTCCCCAGCTCCCCGGCTTCCTCAAGTGCCACCAGCTGCCCGTCTGTCCCTGTGGAGACCTCAGGGCTGGCCAGGGCTTCTGGGGACCAGCGGGAGGCAGGAGCACCTCTTGAGCAAGGCGGGAGTCCCACCTAGTGTCCACCACCCCTGTGTGGCCTCCGAGGTCCTGGCTCCTGCAGCTCTGTCTTCCAGAACCGTCCGAGGAGCTCTCCAGCCGTCCGCCCCTCTTGGGAGTGCGGGTCCCTGTCCCCAGACTCTGTCAGCTCCTCCTCTCTGCCGACCCGTCTCTGGTGGCTAAAATGGCCCCTGAATCTGCCCCCACGGGACCACCCACTGTCACCCCCAGTGCTCTTCAGGCCAGTGACGTCTCCTCGCCCGCGTGCCACCCCTCTTGCTGCCTACCTGTCCCCTGCCGTGGCGGGGGGCGGCTGGGCCGGTGGGGACGTCCAGCTGCTCTAAGATCTGCGGACGGCATGGAGAGGCCCACGTTCCCCAGATCCCAGCGGGGGGCACAGGGCTGTCCTGCCAGACAGGCCCCTCCAGGCAGCCTCACCATGGCCCTAGGGAGGGCCGTCCCCCACCAGGGTGCCAGCCGCCTGCTCTTCTCCGGCCGGCGGGCCCCGGCCCACCACGTGCCTGCACCGTCCACCGCGGCTGAGGGCGGAGGCCGGTCCTGACCGCCGTGGGGCCAGTGCCCAGCGGAGAGCACGCAGCCAGTCCCCGCTGCCAGGCCTGGTGCCTGCCGCAGCAGCTGCCCCTGGGACGGGGGCCTCGGGTCCAGGCCGTGGCTCCAGGGCAGGCCAGGTGGCACACCTGTGGCCCTCAGGGTAACAGTGCTGTATCCAGTTCTGGCCCCGGGGTGGCCGCGCCCTGTTTATGCTTCTCAGCACCACCGTGTTATGGGGGCAGTTGTCACCCATTTTATGGTGAAGAGACCGAGGCTTTGGCAGGCGTGGTGAGATTTGAATGCAGAACCCGACCGGAAGGCAGTCCTCCCAGCTCCCCGCACCCTGCTGCCCGGGGGGGGGGCACCTCTGCCCTCTGAGCCACGCCTCCCTCAGCTCTCTCTGGACTGGGAGCAGGCGCCCCGCTTCCCCAGCTCTGGCTGGCCCCAGGGCAGGGCAGGGCAGCCCCTGCCTGCAGCCAGGCAGCCGCGGGCCTCAGGACTGTGCCAGACGAGGCCCCGGGCGCCTGGCAAGGGGCATCTTCACAGCCCGGAAGGAGCATTAGCCTCGAGTCCGCGCGTCCAGCTGGGCGGCTGCACAGACCCGGCCCCTGAGCCGTTTCCCCACATGCGAATGTCACCTGGTGGCTGGAGCAGGCCACGCAAGCCGAGCACTGTCCGGGCCGCACCACGAGCACCTGGTGGAGGCGCCTGGAGCCCTTGCCCTCTGTCCTCACGCGTCCCCAGCTGTCCTCTGCGGGGCAGGGCCTGCGCTTTCTCGGGCTGACGTTTGCCGCGAGGCCGCGTATGTGGGCAGCTCGGGGTCTGACTGGGCGGGAGAGGCCCGTGTCACTGCCTGGCCAAAGGCTTTGCCTGTCCGTGGGCTCCGGTTGTTCTCATGGCCCCAAGCCCCAGGTCCCCCCAGGCACGATGCCCTGCATGTGTCCAGGACGCCTTGGAGCTTGGAGCTCCAGGGGCAGGAGGTCTGGGCAGGGCGGGGCGGATGTCAGCCCCTGGGAGTTGGAGCTGCAGTGTGGGGTGCCGGCGAAGATTTCGGGGGTCACGCCAGCTTGCTCCCGGCCCCGAGCTCTGAGGTGCCGTCCTTTCCCCAGCCCTCCTCAGTCCTCAGGCCCCGACTCCCTTGAGGGACTTCTGCCCGGCCCTGTATGTCGCTCTGGGGGCCTGGGCCTCGCTCCTCCCTGTAGGACTTGCCAGGAGCCTGGGACTGCCCGCGGGCCCCCTGGATCCCGGGCAGGCTGCCCGCTGCTCCTGTTCCGGCAGCACCCACGGGAGCCTGGCACCTTCCCCCGCTCTCAGCCGCTCCTCTAGGCCTGGGGACAGAATGCCGGTCCCACACCTGGGCGGCCGGGGCCATGTGTGTGCGTGGGGCCGACTGTGATGAGACAGAGACAGGAATCAACGTGACAATGAGGCCCGGCCCCACCTGCGGAAGGCTGAGGTGTGGGCACCCCTAGGGGCCCGGGTCTCCCCAGCCCACTCCAGCCCTGAGGAGGTGTGTCACCGGCTGTCCCCAGCACAGCCTGCGTGCTGCCCTGGGAGCTGCTTTGGAAGCACAGCCCGGAGGCCCAGGGGTCTGAGCACCGAGGGAAGGGCCGTGGCTGAAGTGGGGCGCGGGGGGCCGGGGCAGGGAGGACGTGGGGAGGGGGCTGTGGCAAGCACGCCCTCCGATGCGCGAGCGGGGTGGCCCGTGCCCTCCTGCAGCTGGGCAGACGCCCCTGGCCCCGGCGCGTCGGGCTGCCCGTGGTCCCCGTCCACCACTCGGGTCGTCACCGTGGCTGGGGAGGCTGAGGCACCACACTGAGGGGCATGGACACTGGGCGATGGGGCGGCTTGTGGGAGACAGCGGGTGTCGGGGCTGGCAGGAGACGGCTGGGGGCCCCACCCCGAGGCGCTCTCTCCACTGCCGAGGGCTGAGGGTGGGCCTCACGCAGAGGAGCTGGGACCGCGGCCTGGGCAGGCGGGCGGCGGGCAGTCCGCCCTGGGTTCCGTGGAGCCCGCCCCGTAAAAGCACAGATTCTGGCCCCAGCCGCCGGGGGCTCAGCCAGGCGTGTCGGGGGAGGGCCTGATGCCAAGACTGTCTAGCAGTGTGAACCTCAGGATCTGTGTGGGTGTCATCCTCGGGGTGCGGGGCCAGTGCCTCTTGTTCGGGCTCCTGCTGCAGACAGCCTTGTCCTCGTGGTGTGGGAGCAGGGGCAGTGAGCAGGACAGGGCCCCGGGGTGGGGGGCTCCCGGGCAACCCTGCGGTGGGGAGTCCCCGACCCCCCCCCAGGGCTCCTGGACGCGGCGGGCCTCTGGGGAAATGCTGCAGCATCGGCCGGGGGAGCGAGGTGCCCTGCTGCTGTGCTGTGGGCTGTGACGCCTCGGACCAGCAGGGCAGCGTGGGGTGCGGGCGCCCCTCCTTCCTCTCCGGCTGGGCGGCTCCCAGCAGGCCTTGGGTCTTCTTCCCAGGCACCCTTCCGGGGGGGTGGCAGGAGGAGCCCATACCCTCTCATTTATGTCCCCTGTGTCCTTCAGACCCTGTCCTCTGGAGGACCCCTGGCAGGGCGAGCTGCCCGCTGTCTCCTTCCTTCCTGCCCACTGGCCCACATCCCCCCAGAACCCCCGAACTTCCTGGGCTTGGCCGGCCGAGGCCCAGGGGTGCTGGGAGGGGCCCATGCTGTGGTCACCTTGCCTGTTGGGATCTCGTGCACTGCCCCTGCCCAGCCACGTGGGTCAGGAGTGCTAGGCCCGCTTCATCACACCCCATCGGGCGTTGACCTTTTGACCCCTTGCCACTTAGGTCACGGGGTTGGGTTGAGCCTCCTGGCAACTCAGCAGTGGGGCCAGGGTGGGGGGTGTCCTCAGAGAGATATCCACTCAGGCCCAGGGCCTCCCAGGTCCCCTGGAGGCCAGGGACCTCCAGGACTCCTAGGCATGGGGGGAGGGAGGGGACAGCAGGCCTGGGGCCTGGCTCCCCACCAGGACAGGTGCTTTGCTGTAGGTGCCACCTGTCGATGAGGGTGGTGACAGCAGCCCCAACCTCGAGGGCTGTGGGGGCGTGGAAAGGGGCCCGGGACCGTGCCACGCAAGGTCAGGGCCTCTGGCCCCGGACCCCAGATGTCCAGCCTCGCCCCAAGCCGCATGTGACGTAGCCGCCCCGTCCCGTGTCCTTCGCCATGCCCTGTGCCTCCGCTCCCTGAGCCCTGCCCCACTCTCCGACGGCCCCTTCAAGGCGCTGGCAGCCCTGGCTTCTGGTTTCTGCTCTCAGAACAGCTGTTCTGATTCATAAAAACCATTTTTCATGTTCTTTCTCGATTCAGGGAGTGAGGTCTTGCTGAGGGGGAAAGGGCCGTTCTGTGGCCGGCGGGGAGGGCTTCTCCCTGGCTCCTCCCGTCCGCTCACCCCGCCCATCCGGGCCTCTCCTCGCTCCCCAGCCAGCCAGCCCCTGGCTCGCACCCCTCCGTTTCTTCCTCCGTCCTCCCCATCTGTCCCCCGCTTCCTCCCCCCAGCCCTAATCCCCCTTCTGGGGTCTCAGAGGGCGGGGCCTCTGCAGGTGGGAGGTGGCGGACAGGCCCCTGGTAGACATCTACGCCCCCACTCCTGGCGGACGGTCGCCAGCTCAGGGTCCGAGGAGAGGGACATGCAGGGCCTTGCCCCCACACCACCCCCACAGGGGGACGGCAGAAAGTAACGCACCCCTCAGCCGGCTGAATGCCTGCTGCCCCCACCTTGGTGGGCGGGGGGCCAGGACCTCTGCAGGGGTCATGGGGGTCCGCCCCTAGGACACGGAGTCTGGGAAGGAGGAATTTACAGACTTCTGTTTACCAAAACGAGGCCCTATAAAACATTTAACGGCAGCCAATTAAAGAGGGACAGCTGCGTGGTTTAACCGCTTCCCCCGTACGACACACAACGGGCCCTGCCTTTGTCACGCCTCCCAGGGGCCGCGTTGGGTCTAGGAGGCCTGCTCCACACGTGTCCCACAGAAACCAGGCCAGTGGGACTCAGCCCGTGGCCTCACAGGAGCAGGGCTGCAGGGGGACAGGCGGGGTGGCCCTGGGCACCGGGGACGGGGACCCGAGCAGGAGACCGCTTGGGCCTTGTCAGAGCCTTCAGACACACACTCTTCGTGTTCCCTGAGCTCGTGGGATCCGGGACATGTTCCACCTGGAGCAGGAGCCTCTTGGGGTAGCGGCACCCCACAGCCTCACGTTGGACGCACTGGGCTGGGAACGTCTAACTGTGGCCTCCAGGGCTGAAGGTGGCCTGCCGTGGCCAAGGGGCCCGCTGGGGTCAGGCGCAGGGCGCCCCACTTGGGCAAGTGCCCCCACTTGACACCTGGGCGTTTCCCGCTCTGAGCTCTGCTGCTGCGTTGCTTGTCTCCGCCTGCCCCGGCCAGAACCGGCTTCCCTGGGGTTTCCCCTCCCTCAGCACAGCAAAGGCGCCCAGCAGCTGGGTGGGAAGCCACTCACGCTAGCCGGTGGCTCTTGGGACAGTCGTGGGGTCCCCAAGGGAAACTCCCCTGGGGCCTGTTTTCTGCAGGAAGATCTTTCAAGCATCGGCTCAAGGCTTGAGTCCTGGAGCAAGACAGGGTACTGCCTGTCCCGGCCACCCCAGCCTGGGCCCTCGGCCCTCCCCTCCCCCTCCTGCTGGGCCTGGTGGGGAAGGGCCAGCTGTGAGGGGCCACAGTCTGCGTGGCTGGTGGCCGCAGCAGACAAGCCACACTTCCCCGTGCCCAGCTGGGGTGCCCATGCCTGGGCGAGCCTTCCAGGCCAGTGGCTACTTCTCTGTCTTCATCCCTTCTGGCTAACAGGGTGTGTGTCCCAGGGGGCCAGAGCCCCCTAAGATCCAAGGCCAAGTTGTGGGGCCAGCTGCAGAAGGCTGCTGGGGACCCTGGGTGGGCAGGGCAGACCCCTCAGAGGAAGGGACAGGGACCTGCTGGAACGACTCAGAGGTGCCAGGGCGGGCTGGGACCAGCGCAAGGAACCCTCGGGGCAGAGATGCTGCTGCTGTGGGGACCAGCTCCCTGTGCAAGTCTCAGTGCAGAGGAGGCCAGGCTGCTGGAGAGCCCAGAGCCCCTAGCCTCCGGCAAACAGGAGCCTGCCACGGCCCACCTACACCTGCGCCAGGTGTGGGCCGCCCACCCCCTGGGGCCTGTTGGGTGCTGCGGCCTGCGGCGGTGGCTGGCCAGGAGCTCGACCTGTGCTGGGCGGGCATCCATCCACCGTGTGTCTCCCACGTCACCTCCCTCCCGCGACTCCTCTCCGGAGCCTGCCCGGAGCTTGCTCGCTGCCGGGTGGGAGATGGAGGCACCCCGCGGCCCGCTCCCCGCACTCGGCCCGGCAGCAGCTTGGTTTGCCCTGCGTGGAGGGATGGCATTAGTGGAGTCCGTTTACGTGCTGTATCGATGGGTCGATCTCCCGCGGGCCCCGAGGGGCCTCCCTCCTCGGCTGCCCACCCGCCCCTCGCCTCCCTCGGGTTAGGCGGACCCTGGGGCCTGGAGGTGCCTCTGCAGCCGGTGTCCTTGCTTCTCTAGCTCCAGGGTACCCCAGATTTTCGGGGAGTCTGGCATCTACCTTCCTACCCATGAGCCACTTGGATCACCATGGAAACAGCAATGTTCTCTATGGGCAGCACCGTTTCTATGGAGCCCAGAAAGGCAAGTGCTGACTGGGGCCTCGAGGGGCTGTGTGGGGCCTGGGGCATAGGGCATCCTGGAGGGGTGGGCGGGGCAGGGCTGGGGGCTTTTGGGGCACCAGGGACAGGCAGCCAGCCTGCTAAACCCTCCTCTCTAGGCCTGGGCCTCAGTGGGTGCAGGTAGGAGGAGGGTGGGCCTGCTTCTCAGGCTCCTGGAGGATTTAAACTCTGGATCCCAGGACTCTGGCTAAGCAGCAGGTCCGGGGGCATCAGGCAGGTGCTCTGAGACACGGCCACACCGTCTGCAGCTCTCCTGGTTCAGGTAGAGGCCTCTCAAATGACCGCGGCCAAGGGGGTGGTGCTCAGCTCTCTCAGCACCTGTCCCTGTCCTGTACCCACCCCAGGCGCCGCTTGGGGAGGATGCCATCGGGTGTGGCCAGGGGAGCCCCCCAGAAGCCTATGCTTCCTGCCTGGCTGGGCTGCATGAGGCCAGGCCCCCACCCCACAGTGGGGCCTGAGATCAGATGGTGCTGGGGTGTGTGTGCATGTGTGTGCATGTGTGTGTGTGTGCCTGTTTGTACGTGTGTACATGTGCGTGCGTGTGTGTGCGTGTGCATGTGTGTGTGCACGCAGGTACTGAGACAACACTGTGTCCCAGCAGACAGAAAAGAGTTTCTCGCACCGTGGGCGGGAGGGGGCCTCCAGGAGGTGTCCCTGGAGAGGGGACATTGATGTCAAGCTTTACTGATGAGAAGTCAGGGCTGGGGTGCCGGTCGGGAGCTCCAGCACACACGTGCACACGCCTCGAGGGCACGGACCCCATGGAGCGCTGCAGGACACGTGACTGCCCGAGGGTGGGACAGCTGCCGGGAGTGGCCGGTCGCCTCGGTGCCTCATCTTGAGGGTTTTCCTGGGTGCGGTGAGGTCTCATTTGCATTTTAGAAAGAGCTCCCTGGGATGTGCCTAGGATGCTGGGGCAGGGAGACCCCTGGACTGGTTACCATGTTTAAATGTGATGACAAGTGACATGGATTTGAGCCCAGACATAGGGTCTCATGGGGGCCCAGAAGGAGCATGAAGTTCGGGGGGTCCTCGATAAGGACCCTGGCTGTGGGGGGCACCTGTGCCGGAGCAGATCAGAGGGGAGGGGTGAGGTCCGCTCCCATGCAGAGGTGTCCTGGCCCCTTTGGGCTTGGCGGGACAGCAGAAGGCCTTGGCCTCGGCCCAGCCCAGGGCTGGCCACCTGGGGTTGGTGCAGCCAAGATCCTGCCTGCGCACGGGGCCAGGAAACCTCCCTGCCCACCCAGGGGATGGACCGATGCTGGACTCTCCCAGGAAACCAGGGTCCTGTAGGGCAAGACCCAGGCGCCCTGCTGCCCAGAGGCTGGCACCCCACAGACAACAAGCTGGGTCCCCCACACTCCCACGTCAGCCCCGGCGTGTACAGCTACCTTGACAGCATCTGTCAGGGCCGAGCAGGTGGTCCCAGCCCCGGAAACCCGACTGGCGAGCCTGGGCCCGGCCCCCGCGGGCAGCGGGCCCTGGCGGGCTCTTGGCGTCCAGTGCTGTGGTGGGGGACACTCTGGCTTTGGGAATCTGCTAATTGGCTTTCTCCCAGGCTCCCCTCTTCCCCCTTGTTTTAATTAGCAGGAAATTGACAAGGAATTTACATGACTGAGGACAGTTTTACAGGCTCCAAATGCTTCTCAGGTTCCCCCTTGTCTGCAGCCTCTTGGCTCTAGGCCTTCCATGCTCCCTGCCCGCCGCCTCAGCTGGGTGCGGAGGGGCGCCAGACCCCAAGGTCCCCAGAGATGGTAACCAGGCCTCAGCTTGGGGACCTACGAAGAAAGCATGGCCTGGGCAGGAAGGGTTTGCCCCACGCTGAAAGCCCAGCCTGGACAGCAGGCCGCAGCCGATCACGGTGGGCCAGGGGTGCGCCCAGCACCAACCAGGCTGGACGGGCCCAGAACCGCAGGGACACTGAAGGCCAGTAGTGCACTAGGGGTGGGGACAGCCAACCAGGTCCATTTTCGTTTCTCTCTGCTTTAAGGGATCACCCTCGCCCCTTGACGGAGGCTCCCATAATTACAAAGCAGAGGGGCCGGGTCCCCAGACGCACATCTTCCCTGGGCCTACCTTCCTCTTGGGGGTCTTAGGGGCTAATAAGAGCCAGACTTGGCCATGCAGAGCAAGGTCCTGCCCACAGCAGGCTCTCAGAGGACTCGCCACGTGGCTGGGCATCCTGGTGCCACGCGCTGTGCAGTGGCCACATGCCACATGCATTGCCATCCACTTAGCTGTCAGCCATGAGCTAGCAGCCTCCGTAGTATTTAGGGGTCCAACGGCTGTAGAGACAAGACCAGCTGATACTCCCCCAGCACCGTGAGGGAAGATCTCACTGCCCCAGACCTCACCGGCTGGCCCCCGTCAGCGCACAGGGCCGCCTGCTCCCCCCCAACCCTGTCCTAATCCCCACGGGCACTGGGCCAGGCAGGGGGCCCGGCCACTCACAGTACCGTCTCCTGGGGGCTGAATGTAAGTCAGGGCCTTCCGGAGGGCTGGGCGTCGCGGTTAACACGGACAGAGCTTCAGTCTGGGAAGACGCTAAGTCCTGGACGTGGACGCCGACGGCGGCACAGCGGTGCGAATGTGCCTAAGGCTGGTACCGCCTGCTTAAACGTGGGCGGAGGTGGCAAATTCTGTTTTGTCTGTTTTACACGAGCCTCCTGCAGCCAGGGGCCTTGGGTCACCGCCAGCTGGCGTCGCAGAGGCCCCCGGAGCACGTGTCTGGGGGGGTCGGCTCTCCGGCCCCGCCCGGCCTTCCGCTGACCCTGGTTCTCTCGTGCAGATAACTTCTACCTGCGTAACCTGCCCCCCCAGCCCGCACTCCTGCCCACCAACCCCAACTTCCCCGGCGTGGCCCGGGCTGCCCCCGGCCACCCCATCGGCTCCTGCAGCCGCGACCGGGGCGAGGCCGGCACGCTGCAGAGGGCCGCCAAGGAGTTCGACCGC